CGACGACCGAGCCGGTATAATTTTCGAAGGCGTCAATACCATGAGTGGCAGGTGGCTGAATTTTACGGACTTGCCACGGTCTCCAACCCTCCTCCTTTCTCATCCGGGCTTGGGACCGGCCATGGCGTCTAAACAGATATTTAAACTTACAATTTATGGGAATTATTATTCAATGCAGTTTAAGTAAATGACTGAATTGTACTGAAAAAAATAACATTTGGCAACAAGATATATAGTAGCGGCTAAAAATGTCTTCATCCGACACAGCAAAAAAGTCACACAATGGGACCATGGGTCGACGCGACTAACAAGCCTTCATCAGCCAAAACGGTCTGACTCACGAACGAGGTTTATTTCTAGAATCTTGCACCGGGTCGTTTGTATATTTTAACCCATCAATGCCTTCATGAGGTGGGTATCGGCTGTCGCGCAGCTGCCACGTTTTTGACCGCCGATGATTTTGTCGGCAGGTCAGTTTTTGTTGTCACTCTATGATTTTTTGATTTCTTTGACCCTTCATATCGCTTAACGAGGCTTCTCCAGATCTTGGAAATTTGAAGTCCACAATCCCTGTTCATGTAACTTTCCAGTGAATGAATACAAAGAGCTTCTAGTCTGCTACTAGCCAGATCTATCACCCACTCGGTCAAGGGACTTATGAAGGGCAAGTAATGGCTTTTTTCATTCATTCACTGGGAAGTAACATGAACTTGAACTGGGACTCTGAACTTAAAATGTCAAAGACTTGGATAAACCTCATTAAACACTTTGAAGGGCCAAAAAATCAAAGATTATAGAGTGACAGCTGACATGACAATGAAGTCAATAGCGACAAAAACGTGAGAGCGGCATGACGTTAAGGCACTGATTGGTTGGAATTTACGAACGACCGGCGCAACAGTCTAGAAATAAACTTGGTTCGCGTGTCAAACCTTGTAACTGATGGCGGCATGGAATTCTATTCGAAAAACGGTCCTGTTGTGTGACTTATTTCGCTGTGTGTTGAATAAAGGCATTTTAGCTGTTAGCCTGTATAATGTTTTAATACGATAAATTCCATTAAACTTTTTCTCGATGAGAAAACCACGTTATTTTATATTTAACCATTCATGTTGAGATAATTTTAAAATCCATAATTTCAAGGAAAACAGGCAAAAAGGGTGAATGACCAAGTAGGAAGGCAAGTAATGTTTAACTCTCTACAGTGCGACAAGTTACCTTTTTGAAGTGGTTCAGCACATCAGGGCTCCGCTCGCAAAGTTCCTGTATCAGGCACATGCCACTTATTAAAACACCTGTCAATGAAGTGATGAAAATTTTTTCCCCACTTATTAAGCAATTATTACCGTGGTTCTTTTCATTCAACAGCGTCCTGCTAGCCGGAATGAACATCTCTAACAGATCAGGTACCTTGCGAATGATTCGAAATGCACAGAGAGCAGCCTAAAATAATCATCACTTACTTTGGTAAAAGAAGGATAGGTAACGAGATGAAAAACGATTTTACTATAACACGCAGCAAAACAATGATGCACTAAAGACAAGTTTTCGACTAGACCTGTTAAGCCTCTTCAGCCAAACGACCTGACTTAGTCTTTAAGGCCATGCGTCATTGCGCAAATGGGTGACAAGTACCTTCCAAACAAGTACTTCTCGCACGGTCGTCACTCATCTTGCCACTGATTGTCATTCACTTGCTGCTACACTCGATGACTCGACCGTAAAGTACAAAAATGTTTCCGAATTTTTATAAGAATACTACTTATTGGTTCGAAAATAGATATATCATAATCGACGATGCGTTTGTAAACGTAAATTTAAAAATTGTCAGTTTGCAACTGCGACAGAAAACGTTTTACAGGACAATCGTTTAGTTTCATAGTGTTCTTTTCGTACCGAAAGATCGATCACTTGTAAGATGGCGCCTGCCGAGGAAATCATGACGGCCAACATTCAGATGAGTGCACTAAATCGCCAAATGTCTCTGGCCATTTTGTCATAAACGTCATTCTCTGCTGTAGCCTTCATTTACCTTGAGCTTTATGCCTGGCAAATCAGGCAATGAAAACTAGCGTTTTCTTGTAAACCCATAATACCGGGGTTTATATTTGTTGTATTTTGGCCTTTTTCTCATGGAATTAGATAAACGAGCTAGAAGAGTTTATCCTTGCTAGCTGACCCTGTTCCGGGCCATTTTCATCTTCGATCAGGTCATCTGCATGTGAAGGCTTTACAGCGAAGGTAGAAACATTTTATAATAATAAAATCTAGATGAGAGGAAGCTCGAAAGTTAAATTCAAATCTTCCTCTGCATAAATTCCAAAAGAAGAACTACTATCTTCCTTTAGTCCTAACTACAGCCCACTAATAAGCACACTCCGCGATTAGAGCTTACTCTGTAACGTGCGGCAAGAGTATATTTGTATTTTACAACTGTTGAAATTTGCAATATTTATGGAATGCTGGCGTGTAGCAGGCAGTGATGATGTTGCAAACTCTAAATAACTGACTAGACCTACTATCTAGCCACGAGATCTTACTAGTTTCGACCTCGGATCAGTTAGTCCTATCAGTACGATTACTGTGCTAACGTACCCTGTGGTAACAGGGTTGTCAATAATTGAAACTACGTCGAAAACGGTGATGATGGCAGTGGCTATACTCAAGATCACGATGAATCACGGTGATAGTCATAAACACAGTATAAACAATAATAGTAAAGATGATAATGACGACAACATGACGGGGTGATCATGATGATGATGACATGTATGATAAAGATAATGATAAAGGCGATGATAGTGTTAAGAATGATGGATGACGATGCTGATAATGAAGACAGTTTTGACGATGTTGGAGACAGCGATTAAGATAACCATGATGATCCATTAAGGAGGCTATTTTTGCCAAAACTGCTGAGGTCATCGTATCAATGATGAGTGATCATATGCAACAGCAGGTTCACGGATTCCTACATGATACCCTAATGTTATTCCAGGATTCCAATGCAGTCAGTCGCATTTTCAAATCAAAAATATATGATGTTATGTGTGCAATTTCAAGAGACGTCTCACAGTCTTACACGATTCTCATAGGTCAAATGACATTCATTCTGGTTGTCATTGTGGCAATTTTTATCTACATCGGATTGCAAAATTACTGTTTTGGTTCCAGCATGTATTGGAAGGCGAGGGATGAACAGAACGAAGTTTTATGACTCATTCATTATTCTCAAATCTTACCACTGCATTTGAAACAGTAGCATTCACTGCTACATTTCAAAGGTTGCCTTTAAGTTGCTTTCTTCTTTTCCTACTCAAAGTTTTGGCTCAACATTACTTTATGTTTAGGACAACAAACAATTTGACATAATGATGACTAAATTTGTTTGACCGACATGTTGATATTAAAAGAATTGCCTAAATTATATAATCTTAGAACTGATTCTGAACAAATCGCAGAATCATAGTGATTGACAGCATTTTTACTAAAACATCCTGACAAAACTATTACATGCTTCGTCAAACTTTAACCTCAAGCCGGTAGCTTAGATTTCCCTTGAAACTTCTTCAAAAGTGGCATCATGTGTCTCGAACTGTAATTCATTCTCTCACTGGAGTAGGGCTATTCACTGAAGCAGCTTCGAATAGGTTGCTTATGATCATATAAGCCTGCTGTTATTATCCACAAACAGGTATGGTCTTTGAAACTGCCGGATATGAAACACTGGTGGACCTATAAGAAGAAAATTGGCATACCTTTTTCCTCAGATATGTGTTCGATGACTTCAGCAAACGTTCGATCTCCCCGGCCAAATCGCGGCACATTTCCTGTGAGCAGACAACACCGAGTGCGTTCAAAGCCAAACCGGTGACAAACTGCGACTGGGCGCTTAAATCTCTAAAAGCGATAAACCGATTATTTGCAGAGGCTGTCAATTTTAACTTAGACTCGTAACGATCAAATGAACTGTAATTAGAAATGGTGTTCGTGGATGATGCCATTTAAACGGTGGATTCTAATATGCACAATGAAACACAATATCATTGAGTCATCAAGCAGGAATAATCAACACAACTAAAGGCGCATTTTTCAAATTACGATAAAACTAAAAAAATTACCATAGATATCAACGCATATTACCCGTCAAATTCAAAATTATTGCTATTTATGTTGCATTGATAACGAGCAAAGTGTCAAAATGATGCGAGATGTAGCTATGCATTACAGGTGCAATTCTTCACAAACCAACCTTGACCTTGTCGTCGCGGAGACCTGGCAATTATCAGATGGGAGATTAGATCAAACAGTTACGTAGAGTAAAGTACCTACTCCTAATCAGCTACGGGATCCGTGGCGGTAAATTCTGAAACGATTGATCAACGAGTCAATGGTAACCAGGGCTGACAGAAAGTTTTACCTTAAATGGGCAGTTTTTGTTCAAGAGAAGAACAGTCTGACAGCAAAGCAGAACAGAAGGATGTGGGTACGTGACAATAGCAGAAATATTTCTTGAACACATTATCATCCTAGGTAAAGGGAAACGATAATCCTACAAATCCTTATGTTTGAAAACATACAACAAAAAACTGCATGCATTTGTTGCTTGTATGATGAAGACTTGACAAATCCAAGCAGTCCATAATCGTCAATCGGTTGGGTAGAACTATGGTTAAGAACTGCGTGAACTTATAGTATTTGTGACTGATAAAGCGTAAGCACTGAGAACTGATGGGATGGTTACGTCATAGTAGCAAGGGCGTTGGACTGTACAAATATCTTCGTTGACTAGAATATAATATGCAAAAGGCAACCCAGCTCCCACCTGTACCACTTGTTATTTCAGGCGTAGGCCCGAACACAAAGAACCTGCAACTAGAGGCTGAACAGTAT